TTTCACTTCACAAATTGACACGCAACAATCAATTCGGAGAGGGATACCGTCTTCACCTCAAATAGAACGCCCAGCCATTATAGCCGTATTTTGGTGCACTTTTCAGTCCAGCTACAGCTATCATGGCTGGGCGCTCTATTCGAGAGAAGACGGTAGCAGTCCCGTCCTAACTGACTTAAAGACCGGTGCTTTGAGACCAGTGCTTTGTGCTTAGAACTCATTTAGCGCCAACATATAGCACCAGAGACGCCTACTACTAAGACCCAGGAAGAATAGGCGCTGCCTAAGGAAGAGAGGTGAAACACAGTTCCAAGCAAAAGAATAGGCACTGCCTAAAGTGCACATCACTCTACAGGATGCAATATAATAGTTTCGCCTATATGTACCAAGACAGACCTGCGTATCAGGACATCCTGTCTGTCTTGAATGCACAGCATATAACACGCTTGCTGTTGCAGCAAGCTCCGAGTGGCCGTGTCCATCATGTTTCGTATTCGGTACAGCCGGGTGCAAATGCTACACCTACTCTACACATTCCCCTCTGCCGTCTCCACACAACTTTCATCGTTGCGATCATCTTCAAGTCCCCCTCTCACACACTGTCTTAAACCACCAGTACTTGGGGCCAGCTATCTAGTCCGAGCCTCCAGCGACCGGTATGTCGAGCCGGCCAAGCCTGGCAGTACCAGTAGCTGGACGGGCCGAGGCTGGGGGGACCAGTTGGAAAACGAGCACTTTGCAGTTTGGGTGTATCAGCCCCGTGGTGTTTTTGTCAGAATCCAAAAGTAAAATAAGGGGGGAAAAAAGAGAGAAACGAATCTCAAAGAAAAGAAAAAAGAAACATGAATTTGGCAGGGGAATTAGTTAGATACATTTGTCTGTGTGCAAGTGTGAGTATGGCCTCAACAAGGGCTGTTCAGTAGATCACGGAATATGCGCTGCCTCGCTGGCAGGGGAATCTAAAAAAAATGGAAAAAAAAACAAAAGCAGAAAAAAATTCAAAAAAATGACATCCAGAATCTAATGCAATGAACCCAGATTGTGAGACAGTTGTCAACAATGCAAGTCCAGATAAATGTCCATCGGCTGATGATTACTAATAGTCAAAATCGTGACCAGACAGAATGAGGTGAGATATCATACACAGACGAAGAGCGAGGAGGGAGAAGAGACAAAGGAGAGGAAGTAAAATGCCCACTCCTGCTTCGGGCTCCCTCCTCTACTGCCACCTCATCAATCAATAGTCTGAACGAGTATCCGAGTATCCTCAATGTGCCACGTGGCACATCTAATCAGTTCCACATCAGCATCTGGAGCAATGTCGACATGAAGACCACCAGGTACGTATCCTCGAACTCTCCACAGTCCTGATCTCCTCCTGAAGTGACGACGAACAGAACAGCAATGCCGATTACGTAGTCCCCTCAATAGAACACGTGGCAGCAGCTACGTCAGCGAAGGCGCATGGCAGCTGCCACATCAGCATGCCAAGAAGACAGGAGCAAGCCGGCCACCATGCCAGACTAGCAGCGCCTCGCCAAGTCACAATTGCCAGCAGCGTCGAGCCAGCGTCGCAGCGTCGCAGTGTCGAGCCAGCGTTGAAGTCAACCGGTGAAGTCAGCATCAACGCAAGACAGAATGAATGTCAAAGCCAGGAAGTCAACTCTTATGTAGTATTGAGGCGGGGTCTGGGCCCCGGATGCTGTATTCCTCAGCCGTCCAGATCGCAATGCGAATGAGGGCTCAGATTGGCCTGAAACCGAATTCTCTCCGGCCTGGATGCTGTCTGGGTACCTGCGCACAACAAGTGAGTGTATCCAACCAAGGGCCTGGGTGCGGTACCTTTGACTCTACAGTTGACTTTGACTCTTGAATTTGCTGTGTGCAGTGTTTGGTCACACAGCCACACTTGACAGGCTCAGGCCTGGGCGTGTCTTGGTCACACAGCCCAGCGCAGACCTTCTCAGATCTGCGTGGCCTGGGGCTGAGTTCTGGGCCCCAGGCTACTTCTGAACAGGGTTATTAGTACTTATTACACTAACTGAAATACTAGTTAGAAGCATTCCACCAAGAACCTACGTGACCACGACCCCCGCCCAACTTAGAAAAGTAGTTTTTTTTTTTTTTTTTTTCGTTCTTGCTTTTCTACGTTGCAATTCTCACCGACCGGCTGTTCATGCGAACGACCCCCCCCAAATGCGGCGTGTTAACGGGACACGCTCGCGGCCCATAGCTGGGCCAAGTACTGGTGGTTTAAGGTCTTAAGGTTGTACTCGATTGAAGGAAAAAAAAGAATAAAAAAGAAAAAGAAGAAGAAGACGAAGAAGACGTAGAAGACGGCGACGAAGAAGAAGGTTGGGTACACCAGCACTCGTCACAACAACTCAGATGTGACTTGCCACCTTCCGTTTTTTCTAGTACCTCGTCAACTAACTGTATTCCACTAGTTCTTTTTTTTTTTTTTTTTTTTTTTTTTAATTCAGCGAAAACTGAAAAGTACATCTGTTTCCCATTTACTTCAAAAATGGGAGATGATATTCTTGCGATATCCGCCCATCATTTTCAGCAGGAGGCTGCGGCCTGCATAGCCTTCCCCTGCAGTGTTTGATGGAGACGCTCTCCTCGTGCGCACTCCTCTTGGAGCTGCTTGAGAAGAGCAAAATACTGTCTCTGTGCTGCGACTGCCATTGCATGTCTGTTTTTCAGCATGCTCAGCGTCTCCAGCTCCCCCTTCACTTTCTGCTCTGCCTTCTGTTCCGACGCCTTCACGCTAGCAGCAATCGCCGACAAGGACTCGAGCAGTTTCTCCCTCCCTTGGGGTGTTGCTATCGCCTGATCGAATCGGCTTTGAATGGAGCTCAGCAAAGCGATCTCCTTCTCTAAAACCTTGTTGCTGTCCATCGAGGAGTTGTAGGTCGCGTAGTACTTGCGAGTTTCCTGAAGTTTCCACCGAATTTCATCCGACAGTTCAACAAATCGCCGTTCGTACTGCATCAGTTCTGCGCGGATCGGCACCTCTTTGCCAGCCCCGAACGCAACTGCAATTTGACCCTCTCATCCCGACATTCAATAGTTTGCGCATCCTCCTGTGCAAGGGAAGCCTCGCTCTCCCTCGTTTCCATAGGGGTGCTTGCCGACACCCTCCCTTCATGCGGGAAATTGTCCCTACCGCCCTTCTCCACATCTTCCAGCTCCTCCACTCTGCTGAAGAGGCTCAGTAATCTTTCAAAACTGGCAGAATTCGGTACCCAGGCGCCGATTTCCTTATGCATCCCCTCTCCCTCCTTGTCAAGCCTTGTCATTTGCGTATCGCACTCCTCTAATTGAGCACGCAGGCTCGACATTTCCGAACCTACCTCCTTCATGGCTTGGCAATGCTTATATACTATTCAGGCCTCTGTAGAGCACCACAATGAAGCAGCAAGAGGTTCCTCTCTCTCTCTCTCTCTCTCTCTCTCTCACACACACACACACACACACACACACACACACACACACACACACACACACTCTCTCTCTCTCTCTCTCTCTCTCTCTCTCTCTCTCTCTCTCTCTCTCTCTCTCTCTCTCTGTGCTTCCAGATTGCCGCAGCACAAAACGGCTTCCCCCCCCCTCCAGAGTCCAAACAAAAAAAAAGAACCACTGAATGATTTGACTGTACGACGGAGTTGATGATGCTCAGCAGATGCAGCCCAACCATCTGCAGCTCCACCTTAACAAGTGCTAACAGACCGTCAAACAGCGCAGAGCCTCACTTTTAGAAGTCAAGTCTCCATCCAAGTGGACCCCCCAAGACCAGGCAAACATGTCAAATTGCCAATGCATAAAGCTTTTCAATGCTATCCTTTTTTTTGTTTTCCCTGAATGCATAAAGCTTGTCAATGCTATCCTGCCCCAGCCATCATGAAATCTGCTCCCCGAGTTCGCAAAATGGCATTACCTGATTCACTTCCCGATTTAACACAGTGCTTCCCCTCATCTCTCCGCAAAGCCTGCCGGCTTCAGCCGAATACAACCTCCCGTCATTATAGCTGTGCATATGGGGCAACGCCCCAGCCATCATGAAATCTGCTCCCCGAGTTCGCAAAATGGCATTACCTGATTCACTTCCCGATTTAACACAGTGCTTCCCCTCATCTCTCCGCAAAGCCTGCCGGCTTCAGCCGAATACAACCTCCCGTCATTATAGCTGTGCATATGGGGCAACGCCCCAGCCATCATGAAATCTGCTCCCCGAGTTCGCAAAATGGCATTACCTGATTCACTTCCCGATTTAACACAGTGCTTCCCCTCATCTCTCCGCAAAGCCTGCCGGCTTCAGCCAAATACAACATCCCGTCATTATAGCTGTGCATATGGGGCAACTCTCAGTCTAGATACCGCGATAATGACCGGTCGTTATATTCGGGTGAAGACGGTAGTTCCAGCCCCCCACTGTAATGCCTGTCTCTTATACACATCTAGATGTGTATAAGAGACAGGCCCATGCCAGTCCGATTAATGGATCAAGGGACAGAAGCCACAAAGTGTGTGTGTGTGTGTGTGTGTCTGTGTGTGTGTGTGTGTGTGTGTGTGTGTGTGTGTGTGTGTGAGAGAGAGAGAGAGAGACGGTTAACGGAGGCCTAAATTTTCAGGACTTTATCAGGGTCATTATAACAAACGTCCCACACCTTTTAAAACAAAAAAAACTAAAAAAAACGATCTCCAATGCACTTTTCAGGGTTGAGGGGGTTAACTTGGGGCTGAAAAGTGGGGGTCCCTGTCAACCGCTTATGTTATGTATATGACATGACCAGCGTGTGCAATCTCTGCCCACTGACATCCATGGCTCTCCTACAAGTGGCGCCTCGTGCAAAGTCTCTCTTCCATCGTACCAAGAAGTTCGACCAACCATCATTTCATAACAGGCGGTAAGAAGATAAAGAAAAAAAAAAAAGAAAAAAAAAAAGAACTACATCGTAGAAAACGTCAATGGTGGCAAGCAATTCTTCATCATTTTCTGAACATGTGTTTCTTCATGGAGATATCCACAAACTTCTGGACAAACTACAACAGCACGAGGCATGGAACAGGCCCTAATTGAATCACCCAGACTAGAATTGATTGCAGATTTGCAAAAAAGCGCATGCTTGGGAAGTCGTTCCCAAAACAACATGAAAAGCAGGCAAGGAAACAAAGCCTTATAGCGGCATGTCGACTGTCACAGGAGAAAAATTATCCTTTCATTCGCGGAAGATAAATATTTCTCCGATGTAATGATAAGGTGTGGTGGTGCGATTAGTAGTGGATCTGTATCATTTCTGAACGATGGTGTTTTTTGTGTGTCGTGTTAGGCTGAAGCGGGATGAGGTGGTAATGCCATAAACGGGTACATATTACAAGGCTGTTTTGATTATATTTACACTTTGCTGTAATTGAAAGTGTTTGTGAAAGCGAGCTGAAGTAGGTCTTGTGGGTGTAGTTATACTTGTATACACATATTAAATTATGCTATACATATGAATCATAGCTATAGCGAGTTTTAGGACAGGTGTTTATGTATATTGCATGTGTGTATAGATGTGAGAGTTGGGGTAGGAGTTATATGGAGGCATCTGATTGGTTGGAGTTTAGAGAGTTATCTTGTGTTTATAAGGTTAGGCAGTGTCTAGTTGTCTCCCACCGGGGGATTCAACCCCCAGCTTGGCAACTGGATATAATATCCGGGTGTGTGCGCGATGGGTGTGTATAAACACGGCCATCCCATTTGCAATGGGAGAGGAGACCAATTCGACGTCCGCAAGGTTAGCATCAGGATAGAGCTCTACAGTAATTAGTCTCTTTTTTTAAGGAGAGAACCACTTCAATATATTGTGGGGAGGTGGTTGGGAGGTGTGGATTAGGTAGGGAGCTGTTAAAAGAATAGTAGGTTAGATTGTGTTAGGATCGGCAAAATTAAAAGCCGAAGGGGGGGTGCACGCCCTAAAGCGCGCTTTTCGCCACCTAACACCCATAGCAGCTCATCAGAGGGATTAGTCATTAGGCTCCTGTTAGCGTAGGGGGTGAGAGGGGATCGTAATCAAGGGCTTGTAAGAGATACAACACAGGTAGTTAGAGGTTAGGATCATAGTTGCGGCGCACCAGTGCGCAGTGCGGTGCGGGGCGGTGCGCACTGCGCTGTGCGCTGGAACAACAGCGCGTGCACTGTGCGCCGTGCGGTATGCGCAGTACGCAGTGCTGTCCGCTGTGCGCGGTGCGCGCG